TTGTAAATTCGCAGTCCACGGCACGACAAGGCAGGTAAAAAATTTACTAAATTAATTTTAGTGGCCTCGAAGACAAATAACTGACGATTTCAAACGCATTTGACGACATCGGTTCTGGCAAATTGAATTAGGCCATTAGCACCAATTAACGACTATTTTTAAATTTTAAGTTTTAACCATTTTAGGGCTTTTTTGGAAGGCAGGGATCACTAATAATCCTGGGGCTTTTCCAGCAGATTACGGGGGCAAGCGCGGGCTCAGTTAGGGGGTTTTGTCAACAGTTGCCTGAACCAAACAGCACAAGACGGCTGCGTGTGAATGAATCTATCTACCACTGGATCAGAATAGCTAGATGATGTGAACATTGGCTGCATCTAACAGCAACTGGCTTTGCTGTCGACGATGGTTAGCTGCTATGTCGGCCGAATTTGGGTATAGTTGGTACATATGTCGGAGAAACCGCATTATTAACACCATCGTCAGACATCATAGGGACAAATAGGGTGATCGAGTTAAGAGAAATAATGAGTGCAGAAAACACGTTTGTTGTCTTAGAATAATTTAGAAATCTTCTCTTGACGTTAGCAAACGAATGACAGTTCTTAGGACGGAGGCACCGCCCTTCAAGAAGGCTGGTTGGTAAGTGAAATGGCGTCTGTGCGCGCCTCCATCGGCTAGGCTCTGTTGTAACATGAAGTTAGCGGAGTTCCGACGATACCGCAATCGTGCTGCCATCTTTCGGGAATCGTGCTGCGCTTCGTTTAGCTACCAAGCTAATGACCGTCTCCGACATAATATATTATTATACTTAAAGGGGTTGTCGCGTCGATTACTTATATCTACGTATAAGAATCGGTACCATGTTCGATAAAATACGGTACATTAGTTTCGTTGTTTTTTGCGTTAGTAATGTATTATTACAAAGCTTTACTTATCTTGTTATCTAGACCAGGGTCCGAAGGGAAGGTCTCCTTTGCATAATCCGTTGAGATCAACGTTTTTGTATACATCTGTCTGCTCTTGTTAGTTGTGGGTCAAGTAATTGCGATTCGATTTAATATCAGTTTCGCTGTTGTCCTTGTAAATCCTCACTAAGCACCCTCAAAGTTAAAGTCTGAATATAATAGAAGAGACGGTCTGGATTTTTTGTTTCCATACTGGTAGGTTCATTTAAACATTGTCCATGCTTCGTCTGTCTGTTGATACTATATCGAAGTATCAAGCCCTTGACGATATTGAGGTGCATTAGGAGCTTCTAATTTAACTCCCGTGTGGCGTCAATAATTAGCTAATCAAATAATAATAATAGCTAAGCAAATATAATTTCGTCCTTGGACCTGAAGTTCTAAGAGATTGTGCTATAGGAGAATCCGTTCATTTATCTATTTATTAAGTTGCACCAACAAAGTGATCACCAATACAAAAAATTTACAAACTGACAAAAGTTCATGGCAGATGTCACCTCAATTATAAGTGCAATCGACAGTGCATTAACAACAACAAAAAAAATATATATATAACTATATATAACATAAATATAGATATAACTAAGATTTGATTACATTTGATGGATTGCTTAAGATTAATTTATATTTAATTGGGAAATGATCCGCGACAGATTTTTCTTGTAATATAATATAATCGCGATAACCTCCTAATTATTGCGTAGAATGAATACGTAATGTGCCAAAATAATAAATCGTGAAGTAGTTTTAACTGTGTCTACTGCCCGCCAGAAATTACTTAGCGGTATTCAGTAGGTTTCTCTATGTCCCTGGAATTGCTGATGTCCATGGGCGACGGTAACCACTTACCATCGGGTGGGCTGTACGGTAGTCTGCCTACAAGGGCAATAAAAAAAAACAAATTCGATGCCGGCACACTTGTGAATGTCGTTGTGTAGTGTGTCGTGGACTAAGTCTGCCAAACAGCGGTCAATAGTAGCTTCGAAAAGTATTTTTTCATTGGAAGACGTTCAAAATCGATGTAATGTGATCCTTGTGATTTTAGTCTACGTTTGAAGCCGCAGAAAAAATTTCAATCGCAATATTATTATTATTTTTTATTTATTGCTTAGATGGATGGACGAGAGAAGCTGAGGAGTGCGCGTTTGGCATGGTATGGACATGTGATGAGACGAAATGAAAATTAGGTTGTTAAGAGAGTGTTAACTATGAATGTGGAAGGATATAGAGGTAGACCTAAGAAGAAATGGATAGATTGTGTGAAAGATGATATGGGTAAGAGGGGAGTGAGTGAAGAAATGGTATATGATAGAAGAGTATGGAAGAAGGAAACATGTTGCGCCGACTCCAGGTGACTGGGAGAAGGGCAGGATAATGTTGATGGATGGACGAGCTCACAGCTCATCTGGTGTTAAGTGGTTACTGGAGCCCATAGACATCTACAACGTAAATGCACCACCCACCTCGAGATATAAGTTCTAAGATCTCAGTATAGTTACAACGGCTACCCCACCCTTCGAACCGAAACGCATTACTGCTTCACGGCGGAAATAGGCGGGGTATTCATTTGAAATATCTTGTTTTTTATTTTTTCTGGACATACTTTTGAAGTGAAAACTTCTTTAGAATCGTTGTGATTTCAAACCGGATGCAACGGAAAAAACGACAGGTAAGAGACACAAATACAAAAGAATGAGACAGAAATATACATACTATTTAATACAGCGCCATCTGTGAGATTTTTTTAATACTAACGTGTGTATGAAAGCTCTTGTAGTAAATTTTAATTTAGGATTATACGTGAAATTAAAATATCAACTCACAGAGGGCGCTACCTTACAATTATTTACTAATGACAAAATTTTAAGACATTTAGGATAATTGTATTTTAATTTTGAAGGTATCACTTCTACCACGTGTGAATTGCACACATGTATTTTTTTTATCATGTAACTTGACAACCGGCCAGTACCAGAAAGATTTGGAATGAGCTCCCCTCCACGGTGTTTCCCGAGCGCTATGTCCTTCTTCGAACGAGGCTTGTGGAGAGTATTAAGCGGTAGGCAGCGGCTTGGCTCTGCCCCTGGCATTGCTGACGTCCATGAGCGACGGTAACCACTTACCATCAGATGGACCGTATGCTCGTCTGACTGCTTGGGTAATTAAAAAAAAACAATTTTTGGGAGACATACGTGGAAAATATTATTGCCAGGTTAAAAAAAGATTTTTTTGTTTTGTTTTTTTGTTCCGAAAACCTTTAATTAATTCTAGTTGACGTGTTAAATGTCGAAATAGCGGTTAGAATTGCGTTTATTTTTTTGTTAGGCTAATTTTCATTTTTCCAGGTTAGAAGCGATACGAAATTTAAGAAAGTAGAAAGAGTATTGGCAGCAAATAATTCGACCTCCAGTGCCTTGGTGGGTGGCGACAAAACAGAAATTATTTAGTCGTTACATTGTCTAACTAAAATAATAGAATTGCCTTCTGAGTAAATAAATCAAATATTTCCTTTTTTATTTTTTAGTGCCCTTGTAAACAGACGAGCGTACGGCCCCTTTGATGGTGAGTAGGCACCGTCGCCCATAGATATCAGCAATGCTAGGGGCAGAGCTAAACCGTTGCCTACAAACTATTTCTCCCCCTTATCCTGGGGTCGGCACCGCACGCTCTTATTGGAAGATTGTAAATATAATTTATAAACGGATCTTTAATGTCAAAACAGTTGGCAATTTGCTCACTTGTGACGCCACCGTCTTTGCTTTACATAAGTTTCTATTCTTGTAAATCACTTTCTTTGTTTACCTCTTTGCATTAAACCGTTAACAATTTATTCTATTCCGGAGTATTATTTCAACATCTCTGTGGCGGCACATCACTAGCCGTGTGTGCGGCCACCACTAGCACAAAACCCGTCCAGGCGACAGCGGTGTGCGGGGACGAGAGCGGGTAACGCGCAGAGGAACCTGCTCCCAGTCGGCCGCCGAGAGCGCAGTGCGCTACGAAACAACTTCAAGATCGAACCTACGCAGCTCTGCTCGCACGCGCATACAAATATTATATTTCTCGTCTCACCGCAGACTTCGAGCAGCACTGGCGACAATCACGCAGCATTCAAGCTCAGTTTCGACTCACCGCAAACTTCGAGCAGCACTGGCACTTGCAAGCTAATCTCAGCACGGACAACGATAACTAAAATGACACGACCTCCGGTCTCGGAGGGGAGTGATGTGGCGGTAGCCATCATACAACGCAAGATAATTGACAGATGCCTGAATCTCGCTTACGACATTTTCAAGATAAAGCGCATATATACAAGTTCCGAACAACAACATTTGGACCGTCGGTCTACCGAGCAATATCATCCGCTCGGTGGAAGATCTTCCTTTCGTCGTATACATCCCAAACTGGTGACCTGCGACGGAACAATCGCAACCTTCTGATTCATCATCAGCGCATCAAAAACTTCGGCTACCACAATCCCCGCATTCTCGCAGATAAAAGCAAGTCATCGACAGTCGTCCCACAGCAAGCCAGCATCGCAGCCTCAACAGGACCATCGCAGCCGACTCACCGCGCTTCCTGGCCCTACGGCACGCACCTACACTGCCTCATCGCGCAGCATTCAAGCTCAGTCTCGACTCACCGCAGACTTCGAGCAGCACTGGCGACAATCACGCAGCATTCAAGCTCAGTTTCGNTTGTCAAGCAACCGTCCGTTCTTGCAATCTACGAGTAAACCATAATGTGAAATAAAATCAGCTCCGATGATTGGTCCGTTCACGTTGGCAACTACAAAATTCCAGGTGAAGTCGCGTCGCAACCCTAGGTCCAAATGTATAGATAAGGTTCCGTAGGTGTTGATAACGCTTCCATTAGCAGCGGTGAGCTTGTAGTCCGCGGGTTCCCGTGACTGACGCAGAAACCGACGTGGCAGTACGCAAAGATCCGAGCCGGTGTCGATTAAGTACTGCACCTTTGTCTTCCTGTCAGTGACAAAAAGGCGACTAGTAACACTCTGGCAGTCGTCCGTCGCTTCTACGAACTGCCTTGTAAGTTTCCCTTATAGTTGCAGGGGGTTGTGCACTTCCTGGCCTTGTCTCCGAAAGTGTTGTGGTACCAGCACACGCCTGGCGTCCGGCTTCGGCTCCTTCTCCTCGCGCGGTAGCCGTCACGCGATACAGAACGGCTGCGACGATTCAAGTTTATTTGAGCGATCTGCTGTTGCAACTCTGTCTTAACTCGTGACGCAATCATCTCGTCGAGGCGCTTCACTAAGCCATCGAAGCTACTGGAACCGGCGGCTGCACTCGCAACTTGTTGTAACGGCGCCGGCGTCACGACCTCGTATATCTTGTCTGCTAGCTCCGCAACATCTTCCAAGGTGCCGATAGTATGCGAAACAATTATAGCTTGTATGTGAGGTGGCAAGCGGCTCGACCACATACTACGTAAAAATTCGTCTGAAACTTCGTTGGCGGCGAGAGTTTTTAAATGCCGTAAGAATTGTGACGGCTTCCTATCACCCAGTTCTTCATGGGAAAGCAGCTGGGTAATTTGGTGCTCTCGTGAAATTGACAAACGCTTAATAAGTTCTTGTTTCAATTTTTCGTATTTGCCGGTAGCGGGTGGATTTTTTATGATATCTTTAATTTCGCGGATGTACCTTTGTTCCAGCTGCGAGATAATGTGGTAAAACTTTGTAGTATCTTCCTTGATACCGGATATTTGGAATTGTGCCTCCGCCTGCACGAACCAAACTTCAGGGTCCTCGGGCCAAAATGGCGGTAAGCGCACCGCTACACGGCTTACGACCGGATCCGATTCGACGTTTAATAAAGTTTCGGCGGCGGCCGCGGCGGCGTTATCCTTACTTCCTTGTGCCATTTTATCACGTCGGGATCACCACTATGGTACTTGTGTAAGCGGGAAGGCGTCGTAGCAATAAGAACTAAACTGACTTTGATGCGTTTTATTCGGTGAGACGAGAAATATAATATTTGTATGCGCGTGCGAGCAGAGCTGCGTAGGTTCGATCTTGAAGTTGTTTCGTAGCGCACTGCGCTCTCGGCGGCCGACTGGGAGCAGGTTCCTCTGCGCGTTACCCGCTCTCGTCCCCGCACACCGCTGTCGCCTGGACGGGTTTTGTGCTAGTGGTGGCCCCACACACGGCTAGTGATGTGCCGCCACATCTCTATTTCCATTCAGGCGTATCATACGTCATCTCTGCCCTCAAACCCTTCTCTCGCATATCCTCTTTCATAGATTCCATCAAAGTCTTAGGAGGTCTCACCAACGGTGGATCCAGGGGGGGTCATGGGGGTCATGACCCCCACCCCTGAGCTAGTTCCAGGACTTGAACTAACTTGGACTAATTGAAGAACATGTTGATTTATTTATTATCTATTGTTATCAAAATTAAATTATAAGTTCTTAACTTGCCCACGACTATGTGACCCCCCCTGGCGCCAAAGCTGGATCCGCCCTTGGGTCTCACGCCCTCCTCTAATATGATATTAAAATGTAAAATTGTTTTACTCGAACTACGTGAGCAAATAAAGCTCCATTATTTTGAAGAAGCCTGTTGTTTGGTTATCTCTGACAGATACAGAAAGGGGCTTTAAGAAACGACTTAGACAGTTGAAGTTCGCAGAAATATTTGGAGAACGAACTCAAGAATCCTTAGTTGTTATGTTTTTTTTCATAAATCAATGCGAAATATTCAAATATAATAATTATGACATCATACAACAAAAGTTTTCAATGGCGTTTCCGATTCTTAATAACGTCCGTAATTATTCCGTTTGCTAATAAGCTTACTGGAGTTTTTATGAAGTTCACTAAGCACAGCGGTCTCTTTATAACAGTAACGTTTTCCGACAAGTCACCTCGTTAACACGACTTCAATGTTTTTTTTATTAAAATAATTATCAAAGTATCATTAGAAGAGAATGAATGCGACTAATTATTTATTCTACTTGTGAGAAGAGATGAAATTTCAAGGAGTTACTCTATGGAAATTTTATTTTATAAAGAAAAAATAATGACCCATCACGGCAATGTTAGCAGATGTGAAACATTGATATTATTTTGTACAGGTTGCATATAATGCATATAAAAATTTACGACAGGAAATAGGTAGAGCCGTCGTGGCCTAAAAGATAAGACGTCCGGTGCATTCTCCGCAGGCGGGTACCAATTTTTCTAATGAAATGCGTACTTAATAAATGTTCCCGATTGACTTCCAAGGTGAAGGAATAACATCGTGTAATAAAAATCAAACCCTCAAAATTATAATTTGCGTAATTACTGGTGGTAGGACCTCTTGTGAGTCCGCACGGGTAAGTACCACCACCCCGCCTATTTCTGCCGTGAAGCAGTAATGCGTTTCGGTTTGAAGGGTGGGGTAGCCGTTGTAACTATACTGAGACATTAGAACTTATATCTCAAGGTGGGTGGCGCATTTACGTTGTAGATGTCTATGGGCTCCAGAAACCACTTAACAACAGGTGGGCTGTGAGCTCGTCTACCCATCTAAGCAATAAATAAAAAAAATCATGTGGCGTAATGAACACCGCGCATTTGTTTTTGTCTTTGCGTGTAGACGGGCATACGGCCTACGATTCTTGCGGAGAGTACTCAATGGTGGCAGCGGCTTGGCTCTGTCCCTGGCATTGCTGACGTCTATGAGCGACGGTAACCGTTTACCATCAGGTGAGCCGTACGCTCGTCTGCCTACAATGGCAATAAAAAAAAAAGATTGTGTGGTTTTATGAAACCACGGTAAAAGTGAAACTTTTTTCACATTATAGACATTTAACTCTGACAAACAACATTTACATTAAACACTGACAAAAACAAAGCGTGGAGCACTGGCACAAATGAGTAATAGTCTATACACTACACGGTCAGCTGCTGCGAACTATAGGCGCCGCCATATTGGCCTTGGCTGCTCTGATGAGCGCCTTTTACTTTATCCCTACTCCGCGGCCGACAGTCACGCGACATGCAACACACAGACGAAAAAGTTTGAGACGATGCAATAAAAGTTTCAGTTTACAAACCTTCTTCAAAACAACCGTTGTATGCACAAGGAACTAGGCAATACGTATAAATAGAAAATCTGCGTTAGCTCACCGCCGGTTGGCAGAGTTCCCAGAAGGCTGGCAGCATTTCCACGCTGGATAGCAATGCTAATTCTTTGTGCAAAATACGTACCGGCCTTCTGGTCTCCCGAGGCCTCAAAAAGTTTTTTTTTAAGGTCCTTTTTTATAAGTAGCTTTACCTAAATAATTATTATTTTTATTCATTTATTAGGTTGTTTGTATATACATTATTGATATAATATCAATATGTAATTGGTATTTTGTTACAAATACCTATATCGAAATGTTTGCTATTTTTTTACGTACATAGTACTTTCGACGGAATTTGAGCAAACTTCCCTCCATAAATAAGGCAATACGTCGAATATCTTCCATCAATACCTACACAATATAGAGATGCCTTCGCAGGGCTACTTTAATGAACAGCTATTGTAATTAGTGTAAGAGCCTCGGAGAGCTAAAAGCAGGCTGGTGATACACTAAGCGACAAGCCGAACAATTAAGTCCGAAATATGATTGACTGACGCAGGGCATGGCGTTCAGTCCTAGCGCATCTATACGAATATTATAAAGAGGAAACATTTGATTGTTTGTTTGTATTGAATAGGCTCCGAAACTACTGAATCGATTTGAAAAATTATTTCACTGTTTGGAAGCTACACTATTCCCGAGTGACATAGGCTATAATCTTTTTTTTCTCCTACCTACGCCGAAAGTTATGTTTTCCTCCCGCTGTACAGGGAAGAAAGTCTAACTTTTCCTCCCGCTGTACAGGGAAGAAAGTCTAACTTTTCCTCCCGCTGTACAGGGAAGAAAGAGTAAAATTTTCTTCCTGGGTACTGAAAAGTGCGCATGCGCGTTAGTGTCTACGTCTACTCTCACGCACCTAAAATTCTCCGCTATTGTTGTGCTCGGGTAATTTGCAATATTGTGTTTAGTGTAAAAATGAAATAAACAAAAGGCAATAAAAATTTATAGTGAAGTATTAAACAAAGATGATTTCATCAGACAGTTCTTATTCAATTTGTAATAGTTTATTAAAAAGTAAAAAAATATTTAAATTGCAATAATAGCAATTTTACACGCGGGAGGAAACGTCCTACTTTTTTCCCTTGGTGCACAATGTACTATTGAAAAAAATTAGGGATCCTTACTAAAACTCCAATTATGTGACCCAAGTATAAAAAATTACCTAAAATATTCTTTACATCGCGTGCCCTTCGAAAAGTATTCAAGATAGAATAAAATAATGTACTACGACTTTGTAGAACACATGATTATTTACAAAAAGTGTCGCGACAGCATATGTCTAACTATAATAGTTATGCCGCAATAAGTGTTCTTTTATTTAAAAATAAAACAACGTCAAATATCGTTCAAAATTTTGTTAAAGACCCGAGCGGAGCCGGAGCGGGCCGCTATATACGGTATGTAGACATTAGATATGTGAATTATATCATACGCCTTGAGAAGGCCAGTCTTGCTGTAAAACAATCTAAGGCCTGAATCTCACTTTAATACATTCAGTAGCTTTCCTCTTTTTGTTTAAAGGAAATTTCTTATTTAATTCACGAATTTTCCTGTTGTCTTCTAATATTTAGGGGAACTTAATTCCAACGATACTTAATTTATTATACATTCAAAATAATTTAAATTTATTTCATTGCATTAATGGGTGCCAAATGTTTTTTTTTTGTTTTTTTACTTTTATAAATAAAACGAGTTGATATATTGGTATATTGGCAAAATAATTAATTCTCATTTAGGGTTTTTATTGAATTCTTATGGCGATGTCTGGTAACTTAAGACTTTAAGACTCTCTAACTATTTTCGCATGTGGTCGCGATCCTCAGCAGTGAGGGAACGATATAGAAGAATAGAAGAAGAACTATTTTAGCTTGGCAGTTTGTGTAGACTGACCCATTACAGTGTGTTTGTGTGATTCATGTAAATTTTTAAGTTATTTCAAACGCACTGTACTTTATCGATCTCCCTCACTTCATCCTTCCTTTTGTGAATGGTTTTCCTATTCTCAATTTAACCACAGACTATGCAACTACAAAAGTTTGACAATAAACAAAGAGTATGTATATGTAGGCTTGAGGGTAGACATCTTGTTGAACACCAAGTAAAACGATGTCACTTTTTGGTTCCTGATTTAATCAACAATATGTTATCTTAACAATTCACTTTAACACTTGTCCAACTTTAACCAGTACGTACAACAGTCACTGAATCACACAACGTAACAAGGATATAGTAAGTGCACCAGGCAAGCGCAGTCCAACGAATGTTTTTCGCAAGGCACGCACCGCCNTCACTTTTTGGTTCCTGATTTAATCAACAATATGTTATCTTAACAATTCACTTTAACACTTGTCCAACTTTAACCAGTACGTACAACAGTCACTGAATCACACAACGTAACAAGGATATAGTAAGTGCACCAGGCAAGCGCAGTCCAACGAATGTTTTTCGCAAGGCACGCACCGCCTTTTTATACTAGCCGGCGCAGCTGGCCTATGAGTCACTTCTGTTGCACGAGTGGAACGACACGGCCGGCGCACCCGGCTTGTGTGAGTCACGCCTGTTGCACGTGATGTTTATTAGAAATATTGTTAACGCCGTCATATATATATATGTGTGTGTGTGTCTCAAAGTGTGTGTGATGTATTTTTTTATTGATTTAATGTATTTTTAATGCATAATTAAAAAAAAATATATTAACATTCTGCACTCCTTCTCTATAGTCTCTATAAGTGTGGGAAATTTCATACTCCT